GCCCCAGGCTCCCGCGGCCCGGCCCAGGACGGCGGGGCGGCTCTCCTCCCGCCTCAGGGCCTCTGCACACTGGCTGCCTCCGCAGGCTTTTCTTCCTTTGACGGCCAGTTAAATGCTGGTGTTTGCTGAGGGTCGCATCCCTGGCTCCCTTCTTTTCAACTAGCTGCTCTCGCTGAAAAATCTGAATGCAGCCGTCACAGAACCACTCACCAACCCCTACCTGCAGGGCAGCCTCTCACAAACTGCCACCCCCCTCAGACCTCCCAAGACCGCCCCACGTTACCACAAAGCCCACGTGCCCACCCCCACCTGCTGCGGCTCTTCCTCCGGGTGCCAGCCTGAGTTCATGGTATCCTTCAGCTGCCGCAGCCCAAAGCTTGGGGGGAAGGTTCTTAACATCCCTGGAGCTTATATTCTAAAGGGGGTAAGAAACGAATGGGGAAATAAATATTATTTCATATAATGATTATGCTATGAAAAGGAACAGAGTAACTGGGGCGGTATCTGTTCAGACATGACGTCAGAGACCTGAAAACAACAGGCTTCAGAGAGACCTCCCAGTTTAGTCCCCCGTCCAGCCCACCCAGTGTCAAAAGTGTTCCTCCTAAAATGTCAATTTGGTCATATTACTCTCCTGCTTAGCATCTTTTGAGAGTTTCCCACAGCCAACAAATGGCCCTTCCTGGTCTGGGACCCTCCAGGTTCATCTCACTCACTCACAGGTTTGAGCGCCCACTATGGGCAGCTGCTGCTCCAGGTGAAGGACCCAGTGAGAACAGGGCAGACAAAAGTCCCACCACTCATGGAACTGCTTACATCTCAGAGTTGTAATAAAAAATATGCAAGGAAGTAAAAAATTTAGGTAAGTGATATGAAGGCAATAAAGTGACAAAGTGATGGGCAAGTTAAGTGGACAGGGAAGGTCTCCTAGGAGAAGGGATCTTCGAGGTAAGGCCTGAATGATAAGAGGTAAGTCTCGGGCAAGAGAACTCCAGGCAGAGGGAACAGGAGCAAAGCCACTCCTTCCAAATGTGGGGTGGGGGGTGGGGTCCCAGAAACAGAGCAAGCCCTCGCAGCTGGAGCCCAGGACAGGAGGAGGTGCTTGCAGGTGGGATCAGAGCGGGGAAGGCGGCCATGGTGGGGCATGGCCCTGTCCCTATTTCACCCCGATTTCTGAAGTACTGTGGATGCTTCAGACACGGTCGCCTTACTCCTCGGGCCGTCCCACTTAGGACACTCCTACTTACCCTTCACGACTTGGCTCCAGCCCTGCCGGTTGCTCAGTGGTTAGAGAGTCAGCCCACACACGGAAGGGCACAGGCTCGATTCTGGCCAAGCGCACATACCTGGGTTGCAGGTTCAATCTCCAGCCCAGTCGGGGTGCATGCAGGGAGGCAACCGACCAATGTGTCTCTCACATGGATGTTTCTCTCTCTCCTGTCCCCCTCCCTCCCTTCCAGTTTCTCAAAAAAAAAATAAAAGGAAGAAAAAACTTGGCTCAAGTGCCTCTGGGAAACCCTCTCTAGCTCCCCATTCTCCACTCCTCAGTCTCCCCTCCGGCTCCTTCACTGCCAGGCGTAACAGTCCACAGGGCGCCTCGGGCTGCGGCCAGCTCTGCACGCACACATCTGCACCGACCACTGGATGGTGGGCCTCCTGACGGCACAGGCTTTTCACTTTCAGGTTCTCACCACCGAGTCCAGGCACCAAAGGGGTATTTGATAAATGGAAAGTGTTTTCTACCAGTAACAGCTAGCAGATTGTGTTTGACAGAAATGAAATCTATTGATATATGATTCAGAGACAGGAACTGAAGAAACAACACACTTATGAATCTTTTTTAGAACAAAAGGAATTGAAAGCAACCAAAATGGAGGAGATATCATTTAGAGTAATTTTAGAATACAGGCAAGTGGGGGTTGTGGGAAGACCATATGACTAAATATATTGAAAAAAATTCACCCTGAAGAATTTGGAAAAAACCCTCAAGGACTTAATAAAAGTTAATAAATAACAAGTTTCCTGGCATCGGAAGGTGGAGGGGTAGAAGGGGCACAAGGCGAAAAACAAAAAGGCAGTTGAAAGTTTGAGACTTCCTGACGGCATCTATATGGAAAACAGCGTTTCTGTGGCCACAGAGACAGACACGCAATGGGCACAGGAGAAAAGACAGCGAGGCAGGAAGAGGAGCTGGCTGGGACGGGCGAACAGCGTCACCCCACGAGGCCCAGTCTGTCTCTCTTCTTCCCTGAGAAACGAGCCAGGAGCATCAGGGAGCGTGGAGAGCCTGCCAGCGTTACAGGCACCAGGGCTCACGGGCCCGGGCAGGAAAGGCTCCCTGTCTTAAGGTAAAGAAGCATGAAGCCTTCGGTGCATTTTTTTTTAAATATCCAGCATTTCGGTCCCTACAAGCAAAGTTTCCAAAACTCTTGGAAGACTAGCAACACCTTAAGGACGGACGGCCAGGAAGAAACTCTCAGTTAAGTGTTTTAGGGAGGAGTCCTACCCTCTGCAGCAGCGACGCCAGGGAGGACAGTGAGCTGTCTTGGAAGCGGACTCTCCCGTTCCCCCTGAAAGCGAGATACTCCACTGCCACAGGAAAACTGCTGCCTAGTGCTTTCCGCCTCCTGTCACGAGCGACCTGACCTCCAGACCCAACCGCTCGCTATACTTCCAACCAGCGGCTTCCCTCAGAACACGGGGCTGCCCCTGCTTCCCCCCCCCGACTCCCCTTGGTCCTGTTCTGCCAGCTTTCTGCTCCCTAACCCCCTTTACATTGGGGGGGCACAGGCGGGCTCCTTGTCCAAATCCGCAGCCATCTTCTCTGTCCATATAATCCCTACCAGAGAATACACCCCCTCTCGAGACTTCACCTACGTCAACAATTCTCAAGTAGGACTGATTCTGCCTCCCACCCCAGGGGCCATTTGGCAGTGTCTGGAGACATTTTTGGTTGTCAAAACTGGGGGAGGAGGCTACTGGTATCTAGTAGGTAGAAGCCAGGGACCCTGTTAAACATCCTTCAATGCTCAGGACAGCTCCACAACAAAGAATTACTTGGCCTAAAATGTCAACAGTGCCACTGTTCAGAAATCCTGATCTACACAGTACACTGATGACTTGACTTCATTCATTTCTTCATCTGAAAAATATATTACCTATTTAAGACATGCTATGTCCAAGTCACTGGGTGGGGAGTTGGATGGGGGTGCAGGGGGACTACAGGTGCAGGGATCAACCTGAGATGCATTATGCCTGGGAGAATGAGCACCTATCTGGAGGAAAGACCCACGCCTCAGCCTAAACCAGGCCAATGTTCTAACCACCTCTGGGATATCTCCACATGCACATGTCCCAAGCCACACATTTTATCACGCTCCCTTCTACCCACCTTCACTACCACCTAACTCATTCCTTCCTTGTCTTACGGTCTCTACAATCTCTATCATATCTTCCCAAACATCAAGGCAGAAATCCTGTTAAACCTGAACTTCCTCTTGCCTAATACTGACTTCAAAGCCAAGTCCTTGTGAATTCACCCTGATTATATTTCTTAGACCTGCCCTCATGCCCCACACCCACCACCAATCTTCCTCCCTGCCCAAGCCCAAGATGCCCTCTGCAGTTTAGTGCTTTGTAACAAAGAAGCATTTACAGTGTTTCTGTTGTTTTCGAAAGAGTATATGCTTTGGGGTACAAAGATAATTTGGAATCTTGTCTCTACTTATTAACTAAGTGACCTTGAACAAGTTACTTATTTCCCTGAGCCTGTTTTTTTCCCTACTGAAATACAAAATGCCAAAACAGCAAGTTTCTCTGCAAGGGTAACGGAGCCTGAAGTACTATCACAGGTACTCACTATGTGGTAGCTCGTAGGGAACTGTAACTGTGTGTAATCTATACATACTTCTGGTGCTGTATGTACTTAAATATTTAAGTTGGAGTAGACTGAAAATATAAACCATAATTATAGTATTGTTTCTGAAATCTGTTAGGTTCTCTGAATCTTTTTAGGTATAAACTAATTTTTTAAGGTCTTCAATCAAGGCTTATTTGAAACACTAATTCACACGGAAACAGAGAAATGGGTAATTTTAATAACAGCTAAAGTGCTTTTACTGTTACTCTTTTATATAGGTCAAGCCCAGAAGACATGCAGGAACATACTTTATAAGCCAGGGAGTGGGCATACTTTCACCCCTCTTAACAAAGCAAAATTGTTCTTAATTCACAAACTTAAAACTCCCCAAACAGCTTTCACAGCAGGGTATTCACTGTGGTAGGAACCCAGCAATAGAGGGCTTATCACACTCACTTGTTCCACGTAATAAAGGTTGCTCTCTGTGTGGAAATGCCAAGACCAACAATCTGAGTCATCTCTATTTCAGCAGCTGAAAATAAAGATGGGTAAATCACGTTTAAAAGCCAATAAAATTTTTCTTTATAAATTGTAATATGGAAAAGAAATTGAGTATAATCTTTAGGAAAAACATTTAGGTTTAGCATTTTTTTCTTTTTATTGTTTCAATATTATTTTGTATTGGTTACAGGTGTACAGCACAGTGGTTAGACAATCATATACTTTACAAAGTGATTCCCCTAATATTTCCAGCACTTACCTGGCATTTAAATTTTTTAAAAAAAATTTTTAGAGAGGAAGGGAGAAAGAGAAACATCAATGTGAGAAAGAAACGTCTATTGGCTGCCTCCCGTATGTGCCTCAACTAGAGACTGAATCTGGAACCTAGGTATGTGCCCTGACCAGAAATTGAACCCACAACCTTTCAGTGTATAGGCCTGACCTGGCATTGTAATAACACACTGGAACTAATAAAGAAAGCATTACTAAGATGATTCTGTATGTAGCTTTTTTTTTTTTTTTTTTTACACTTAAAGGGAAAAATAGTCATATTCCAATAATAACAAAATGACTTTTTTGTCTTTAAATGTTTGGAAAAAAAATTATTAGAAGTCAGATTGTCTTTTCCGACTTTTGGAAAGGTGAGAAATAGATGGCGATAGAGGAAAATCCCCAGTGAAAGTATCGTTTTTAAAACTCAGATCTTATTTTCCACACAAACTGATGCTAGAATACAAACAAAAACATAGTGGGGTTTTTTGGTCCAAATTCCTTAAAATATAGCAAGTTTTTTGTGATGCTCTTTTTAAAAAGTATTTTACCCCACTGGGCAAATTAGAGATATCAATTTGAGCAGAGGAAGACAAATCATCCCCTCCACAGTACTCCTTCCAATACTTACCCAACCTGTCCTAACATGCTTACCCTAACCTACCCATGAGGAAATAATCAGACAACCCCAAAATGCAGGACAGTCTACTAAACGGGTCTATAACTTTGAAAACTGTCAATGTCACGAAGAACATGCTCTAAATTAAAGGAGACCACACAGATTGCCAGATGCAATGCCTCCTCTTAGGCTAGGTTCTGGGCTGAAACAGAAGTTATTGATGACCGGAGGAACGGGAATCTGAAGACTCAGCATTAGAAGATACTGCCGCTGTGGGCTCTGAGAAACTGAGGACTCCTCATGGCTAACTGGGCTCAAATTTTAAAACACAGGGCCTCGGGGTCCTTTCCAGAGAGACGCCTGTCATGAAGGTGCGCCCCGCGGAGAAGCCGCCCTGGCGGGCCCGCGCCCCCCCGCGGCTGAGCCGGCCTCGCGGAGGCCTCCCCATCCCCCGCGGCGCCCGCATCTCCCCCAACCAATCAGCGCAGCGCGTCCTGACCAATCAGAACAGTGCCTCCGGACTAATCAAACTGACGACTCGGAGCCCTGTTTGCACGAAGACGGACCAATCGGGGGCCAGCGCAGGGCCTTCTCCGCTGCGGGAGCCGGCTAAGAACTGCGTTTCCCTGCGGGCCCACGCTGCGGGCCGACCACCGCACGGGAGCGCGGCTGCGGAGCGGAGGGCCGAGCTGTCCCAGAGGAGCCGGCCCCAGGGCGGCCTCGCCTCCAGGCTGCGCTCCCAGCCCTGCTGTGTCATAACGAGCTGTTCTGTACTAAAGTTTCTTTCTGCGCTGTACCCCAAAATGGGGACTCCTGTGGGTGCTGAGCTGCGGGACTGACCACCGGTTGACACTGTTCCTGTGGAACCGCCTGTGTGCCAGCCGCGCTGTGGGGGGGCAGAGCACTCCTCTTCTTCGGACACAGTGCTAAGTATGTAGGGGTAGCAGCTGATTACGTCACAACCAATCCTCAAATCAATCAGGCCGAAAAGTTCGTAGAGGACGATACATTGCTAAACATGCCTGAATCTCTAAAGGGATTCAGTGTACTATTCCTGTAAATTTTTTATAGGTTTTGAAATATTTCAAACCAAAAAGGTGAGAAAAAGTAATTCAGCCAGAAAAATGTAAAAGACCTTTAAGGATTTACATTTACAAGTCGTCTTTCATTATGTTCTTTAAAAGGCTGCATTGAAAACATTCTGAAAGAGTTAAGATTTTGGACCATGGCTGCAGCCAGGAAAGCACTGATTTGAGAGACCACACAGAAAAAACAAAAACATATTTTATAATAACGGTTATGATAGTGGGAGGGACACATAGAATAGCCACAGCTGTTTACTAATTATTCACTTACTAACTATAGATAAGAGGCTTTCTTACAGGCCCTGGGAAACTGGGGGATGTGCTACAAGAAGAAAATACATTTCCAAAGCAGACCAAGGACAGAATGCACTTTAATTTGGTTGCTGTGCTTGGCCCCAGACCCCTCCTCCAGGAATTTGCCTCGAGAATGCTGACCATTCTCTGGTCCCAGGAACGGGCTGAGCTGTTTGTAACATCACATAGGATTAGCCACCTGGTTATCGGACTTCGAGCTCCTGAAGGCCAGGAGGCAGCCCCGACCCACCCCTTTCCCTGTTACACTTGCAGCTCCCAGCTGCATGCAGTTCTCGTCTCTCTAACCTGCATATAATCAGCAAGCTGACAGAAAAAAACGAAAAGGAGAGAACTTCCAGGGTGACCAACTGCTCTCCCTGTCCTGCCGGCATTATTGGAATAAATGCTCAAATGTGATTCAACCCTGTCTCTGCTTAATTTGGCTCAAATGGTGACATGTGGTCTCGGACCCATTGTGTCCAGTTTCAGTTAATCAGTTGTAACTCCAGCCAGCAGGAACTGTGTATTGTCATTTTGTTTATAACCTGCTGGTATTTTGTACACAACAGGAAATCAAATAGGCATTAGCTACACCTGGAATAAAGAAGGAAGGTGAGCCTTTAGACCGTGACTAGAAAAAAATTTAAGCCACAGGACAGAGATGCTATTACCTTTCCTTGAGAAAGTGACTCACTATAAACTGCACTGTCCCCTGAAAAATCCTGGGAAAGTACCATGAAAGGAAAACAGCAAAATGGAATGGATATTGTCAAGAGATCAATCTAAAATGGAGCCAGGAGGCCTCTAGGAAGCTAAGCTCACACCCTCCACGTGAAACTGAACTTTTGAACTGGGCTAAACCAAATGTCTATCTCCTGATATAGTTTCTAGAACTGGCTCTACATCACTGAAATCACTTAGCAATTGACATAATTAAAAATGTGTAGCTCAGTGTAAGTCGGCTTGCCAGCACCAAACAGCTCTTTCAAAGCGACTTGGGTAACCCTTTGGAAGGCCTCTTTTTTCTGTCTTCATAAACTCTGTCCCTTTCTTTCGTGTTTAGAACAGAGTTGGGGTTTCTAACCAAATGTATGTTTCTGATCCCCAAGTAACACTTTTGTTTTCCTTGATATTCTTGGTCAAAACTGATTGACATTGTGACCCTAATAAAATACTGTATGTATACTTACAACTTAGGGAGCCCCAAAATTCTATAAACGACTGAGGAAAACACTTATTACAAACAAAATATACTTTACTATTTTTATTTTCATAAATCAAATTACCTTTGACAGATTCTTTTATTACAGCAACAAATTGAAGCCAGAGAACATCAGGATCAATTTCGATCCAGCCAATTTGAGGGCAAAGACTTTCTACCTATGGAAAAGACAAGATTCAGTAAAAACAACATGAGATCAAGTCAGTAGCATGTGGGTCTTAAGATTACTGGTTAAAATCATTAACATCATGATTTTATTTATTATATAATTTATTTTTATTGTTAAAGTGGAAAAATATTTATATGAAATATTTATATGAAATAAAATATGAAATTTTTTGGCCAAAATAAGTTTTCTTTAGTTCATGAGTTTACAGAAGATATTCGCGCTCTTTATTTTATCTTTATTTTCCAAATTTATCTTTATTTTCTGAGTTTTCTACAATAAAGATGTGTTATTTTTGCAATACAAAAAAAGTCAGGCTTTTAAAAATCAAAAATTAACAAACAAAATACCAAGTTCTGGTTTAGACTATGTTGGAGCAAACATACTCCACCCTGCCCCTCCCACTGAATGCAGAAATAACGCCTGGACAAAATGCCCATGCAGCTACTTGTGGGCTCAAAACAGTGTATGGGGCAGGCAGAGTGGGTCAGAAGATAGGAACTCAAGTACCACTGGACTGGTGGTAAGTTTCCTATATTTCTTCTGGTATCCCCTGGCCTGGGCTCCAGGCAGCCTGAAAAGCAGAAGTGGGAACCAGGATGCAGTAAAAGCCCCAAGAGAAGTACTCTTTTTTTGGCTAACACTCAGAGGGAGTACGGAAAAGCCCCATTTTTCTTCCCCCCCCCCCATTGCCTCCATATTTTTGTTCCAGACTAACAGTGGCTGCCGCAGTAACCACAAGCACCTAAAGTACTGAGGGGGTACAACTTTCTCTCCAAAGGAGCTGGGGGTCCAAGGGGCAAGGTGAACCCCATGGCCTTTTTCTCTCTCTGTGCTCCTGATGCCCAGCCCCAGATGTGGGAAATGCCTGGCAGAATAGTGTAACGAAAGCTCCAGCTTTCTGGGAAGAGGGCCTGAACAGTACCAGGAAGATCTGAGAGGAAGCAGCTTGAGAAAGCTGTTCCAGAAAGCTGGGTATAAATCCTAGGCGCGCCTCAAAGCTGCGCATGTGTAAATGCAATCCTACACAGCTAGCAAAGGTGTTAAGCTCAGAATTAAGGGACAGATGACTTGACCACTGGGAGGTACATACACAGGGCATATCCAAACAGTACTGCCAAGTTTTTGAGAAACCAAGTCCACAGAAGGCTGGTCAGAATTTTTAGCCTGAGCCCAACTGTGTTACCTGCCTGCTAAAAGAAAAATATCAACGTTCATCATAGGATTTACACAAGATCCAGCATTTTATACCATGATATTCAAAGTGTCCAGGATACAATCCAAAATTTCAAGGTACATAAAAAACAGAAAAATCTCAACTCACATGGGAAAAGAAAATCAACAGACACCAATGCCAAGATGACACAGGTATCTGAAAAAGGCTTTCAAGCAGCTATTATAAGATTGCTCCAAGAAGTAAGGGCAAACTCTTTTGAAACAAATGGAAACATAGAAAGTCTCAGCAAAGAAATGAGACACAAAGAAAAACAAAATAAAAATTTTAGAATTGAAAAATACAATAATTAGGGGAGTAGGAGAAATTGTGATGAAGACCTAATGTGCAGACGGCATGGTGACTATAGTTGTTAATAATATATTGTATGCTTGAAATTTGGTAAGAAGTAGTTATCAACACACACACACACACTAGTAATTTTGTGAGGTGATAGATAAGTTAATTAGCTTGATTGTGATTATCACTTCACAGTGTATGAGCATACCAAACAGAATGTTGTACACCTTAAATATTTACAGATTTTATTTCTCAGTCACACCTCAATAAAGCTGAAAAAATCAACTTAAAAAAGAAAAACGTAATAGTTAAAATTTAAAAACATACTGGATGGGCTCAATAGTAGAATGCAGACACCAGAAGAAAGTCAATAAACTTAAAGATGGACCAACAGAAATTATCTATTCTGAATAACAGAAAGAAAAAATATTAGAAGAAAATGAATAAAGCCTCAGGGATCTGTGGGAAAAGAGCAAAAGGTCTAATATTTATGGCATCAAATTCCCCAAAAAAGAAAGTGTTCCATGCAGGAAAATATTACTTCAGGGAAATAATGGTGCTAAAAACTTTCCAAGTTCAGTGAGATTTCAAATCTGTATATTCTAGAAACTGAGAAAACGCCTAAGAGGGTAAGTCCAAAGTCATACACATCCAGATTCGCCATAACTAAAATGACAAAAAACAAAAACAAAGAAAAAAATTTGAAAGCAGCCAGACACATTGCATATATAAAACAATGATCTGAATGAGTGTCGATTTTTCATCAGAACCATGAAGGCCAGGAAGAAGTAGCCAACATTTTTAAAGTGCTGAAAGAACAGCCATCCACAATTCTATATCAAAATTCAAGGAGAATTTTTGTAGATGCAGACATTATGATTCTAAAATTTATATGGAATGGACAAAGAACTAAATAGCCAAAAAATGTTGAAAAGAATAAAGTTGGAGGAATCACACTACCCAATTTCAAGACTTACTAACTATAAAGCAACAGTAATCAAAAAGTTGTGCTACTAGCACAAAAGAGACAAACAAATCAATGGCACAAAATAAAGTGCAGAAATAGACCTAAACAAATATAGCTAATTAATTTCTGACAACTGTATGAGGCAATTCAATGGAGAAAAGATAGCTTTTTCAACAGAGTTTGAACAACTACATATGCATGTGCAAAAAAATTTAACTTCAACCTAAACCTCACATCTTATACAAAATTAACTCAAAATGGATCATAGATCTAAATGTAAAATTGCAAAATGTTTAGAAGAAAACACAGGAGAAAATCTTTGTGACTTGGGGTTAGGTGACAAGTTAGACATGACACCAAAAGTATTATTTATAAAACAAAAAAATTGATAAATTGGATTTCATCAAAATCAAAAACAGTTGCTCTGCAAAAGATATTGTTAAAAAAAGATGAAAAGACTACATACAGACTGACTGAAAATATCTGAAAATCATAAAACCAATATAGGAATCATATCCAGAATATACAACAAAATCTCAAAGCTCAACAGTAAGAAAACAAACAATCCAATTAAACATGAGCAAATGCCTTGAATAGGCACTTTACCAAAGAAGATATATGGATAGCAAGTAGGCACATAAAAATATTCAACATCACGAGCCATTAGGGAAATGCAAATCAAAACCACAATGAAACGTCACTACATCTATTTAGATGCATAAAATAAAAACACTAACAACCTAGAGTGTGGCGAAGAACAAGCGGAACTCATCCTCTGCTGGTGGAGATGCAAGTGCTGCCGCCACCCTGGGAAAGTTTGGCATGTCTTGTTAAATTAAACATTCACTTATCCTACCAGTCAACAACCCCACTCCTATGTATTTATCCTAAAGAAATGAAAACTTACGTTCACATTAAAATCTGTGCAAAAATGTTTATAGCAGCTCTATTAAAAATCTCCAGAAACTGGAAACAACCCAAACATACTTCAACAGGTAAATGAATGTGGTATATCCATAATGGGTTACAACTCAGAAGTAAAAAGGAATGAACTATTGATATACACAACATGGACAAATCTCAAAGGAATTATGCTGAAAAAAGCTAATTTCCAAAGGCTATTTACTGTATTGCTCCACTTAGATGATGTTCTCAAAAAGAAAAAGCTAGTCATGCAAAATAGATCAGTGGCTACCAGAGGTTAGGTACAAAAGGAGGGTCTGACTACATAGGACTAGCACAGGGGAGTTTTCGGGGTTACTCCTATACATGTGCTAAAACTCATGGTACTTATTCACCACAAAAGTCAATTTTCCTGTATATTAATTTAAAAAATAAAATAAAAGAAACCTATGGCTTCAGGTTAAAATGATGACTTAAACATATGTGTTTTGTTTTTGTTTTTTGTGTTTTTTTTAAACCCTCACCTCAGGATATTCTTTCCATTGCTTTTCTGAGTTGAAGGGAGCGACACACAGATTGGTTGCCTTCCTTAAGCGCCCAGACCGGGGTTAGGGATGACCCTACAACTGAGGTCCGTTTCCTTGACCAGAATCGAACCCAAGACCCTTCAGTCTGACGGCCAGTGCTCTAATCACTGAGCCAAATTGGTTAGGGCTAAACATATGTGTTATATTTCCAATTCCTCTCAAGACTCAATAAAAAACATTAAAATGGTCTATGCAGAAGGACAATGAAAAGAGGGCAAAAAGATTCAGACCAGGTTTTAACAAATGTTTTTAATATCAACAGTGAGTGGGTGGAGCGGTACATGGCTAAGCAAAGAAAAGAAAACTGATAACCTCACTCCCTGCTCAAATTAAACCACATTTATGCTCAACCTCTGGCAGAGATACTAGGGTAGAATCCCGAAACTGAGAGGTACCTCCAGAGGCTGCGATGCCAGATGCAGCTGAACAAAGGATGGTTCAAAGTCTTTATAAGCATCCCAACTCCCCTCCTCCCTAACCAGGCCCGGAAGGAGGTTTACTCGGCCTGGGGGCCGGGTGTGAACCAGAGTTGTTCTTCACTTGCAAATACCAGATGTAGCTGAACAGGATAAGACAGGGTACTGAAAACACAAACAAATACCAACCAAAGATCACCATTTAAGGAAAACCTCTAATCTGTAAGGAAAGGCCAAAATAAGAGAAAAACAGGAACTCTGAGGAAACAGACAATGTGGGAACATTAAGGTGATACAGGGTGATATGAAAAGAGAATCCAGTGAGCTCATCAGAAACAAAAGATGTAACAAAATCTATTCCCCTTCTATCAAATAACAGTTCTGTTCCTCCCGTGTAAGACTTTCCTGACCAGACTGCATGGCCCAACTGCAATAAGCACGTCCTCACCCTCCAAGCAGTGAATGTGAGAATCATCGTTTCCAGCCGACAAACCTTCAGACTTGATGGTAGCACTCCCGAGTCACTCCCCCTCTCTGCCAACATCTCTAAACATGTCACAACAGTGAAATCAAGCCATACTAAAATTGAATAAGAATATCATCACAGTTAAAAGAAAATTTGTTTTTGTTGCTTAAAAACAAAAGACAAACAGGTTTTTTCCAAGAGTGTACAGAGGATACAACAGCATTCCACTGTCTTCTTGGGAGTGGCCTTTCGGTACAGTAAACCCTCAATTTTGTGGACCTCAATTTAACAGACTTTGGATTTAACAGACAAAATTTCTGGTCCGTATGTCATATGTGAAAATTAACACCCTGATAATTTAAAAATGCTTTTAACCAAGATCTGCTTAAAATTAAATTAACAGGTTATTTTTGTTATTAATTCAGTTATTTTTAATAAATTTTAGCAAACAGGCCATATGTTGGAAAAAACACTGTAGTAATTTTGCCAACATAAGTTAACTATTACATATTTATAACTATAGTCTACATATTTAAATCCAAGAGTCACTACTGATAAGCAATGTTCAGGGAATGATTAGCACGAGATCGCACCACACCTCCCACAGTAACTGGTTCTGTTGTCACATGATATGACTTTCTGCAACAGTTTTTTGTTTTTGTTTTTTAAAAATTATATCTTTATTGATTTCACAGAGAGGAAAGGAGAGGAGAGAGACAGAAACATCAATGATGAGAGAGTCATTGATCGAGCCCGCAACCCGGGCATGTGCCCTGACCAGGAATCGAACCCCAATCGCCTGGATCTCAGGTCGACACTGAACCGCTGAGCCACGCCCGGCCGGGCTCTGCAACAGTTTTAACTCGAGCCAGCCGATGTTCCCAAGTGCACTAAACCACACCCCTGCCGTGTGTATGTTTACTGGAGGTGACTGGTGAATGCACAAATTTACTAGACCTATTCAGTATAAATTTAAAATTACAGTAATACATATAGAAAACTTTTCCGTGAAATTAAACTTTTCATACACACTTAGTTTTAATTACACAAACGTGTGTACATAAGTAAAAGCGGGTAAACTAACTAATTTGTCAATTTTTTAATATATGCATTCAAAAAACCTACTTTATTATAAAATGGACTTTCGGCTTTAATGGATACTCCCTCACCCAAATTAGTCCATTATATCAGGTTTTACTGTACTATTCATTCAAGAAAGGTTTTATCTATTGTGGAGCATGCTACTCCAAAGGGGAACATGATAAACTTTCTCAATTTTGAAAAACCAAAAACATTAAATATTCACATGTGGAAATTTCAAATCTAAATACTATTTTAGAATATAACACCAACTCTTAAAGTGTATTTATATATTTTTTTATCATTTTTGAATTTTCAGTTACAGTTGACATTCATTATTAGTTTCAGGTGTACACACCCAGTGATTATATAACTTACAAAGTTATTCTGATAAATCTCCCACCCATCTGACACCACACAGTTATTAGGATATTATTGACTATATTCCTATGATGTACTTTATATCCACCTGACTATTCTATAACCAACCTGCACTTTGTAATAATCCCTTCACCTTTTTTACCTATCCACCCAA